CTGAGATGGGAGGCTCACCAGATGGCTTTGGAGAGCCTCATCAGCATTGCTTCCTTCACAGAATTATGAGGATATATTTATTTGTTTGTTTTATTGCTTTATGTTTTGGATTTTTATGCTGCCAGTGCAGAGGCTTGAGGCGGTGATATATAGAAGACGTAAAGCACTTGGCATATGGAAGAGAGCTATAGAATTAATTTTTAAAAAAGTAATAGTCACCCAACTATGACTGCAGTGCAGGCTGGTAGAGGGTGTGGCATATTGTAATTCTACTTTAATCAGCAAGAAGCCTCACTAGTACAGGGGCAAAAAAATTTCCCCTTCAGATGCTTTGGGCTACAACTCACATAATCCCTCTCTATTGGACATGCTGGCTAAGGCTTCTGGGAGCTGAAGCCCAACATATCAAGTGGGCCAAAGGGTCCCTGCTGTATGGCAAATATAACCTAATTGAGCCTAGATATGCTTAGGAGAGGATGCAGAGATAGGATTATTTTATTTCAGTCTCATCCTTCCTCCAAAGGACTCCATTATTTATACCATTCCACTTCAACGCTGTGAAATAGGTTACAGTACAGGTTGTTTGCTGGCCCAAGAACTCTAGGGATGATTGTTGATTTGAACCTACGTCTCTCCATTTACCACTTGTTATTGTTGTTGTGTGCCTTCAAGTCATTTCCAACTTATGGCAACTCTAAGGCAAATCTATCAAAGGGTTTTCTTGGCAAGTTTCGTCATAGAGCTTTTGCAATTGCCGTCCTCTGAGGCTGAGAGAGTATGACTTGCCCAAGTTCACCCAGTGGGCTTCTATGGCTGAACTGGGATTCGAACCCTGGTCTTCCAAGTGTCCTAGTCCAATGCTCAAACCATTACACCATGCAGTTGTTCCCAAACTTTGGTCCTCCACATGTCTTGGGCTACTACTCCCAGAAGCCCTAGCCAACTTGGCCAACAGCAAGGAACTCTGGGACCTGAAATCCAAAACATGTGGAGGACCAAAGTTTAGGAACAACATCCTCACTACTGTACCATGGTGGCTCTCATAGGATTCAAGCTGACAAGGACAAAGCTGAGAGCAAACAGGGGAGTTTGCTGCTTTTCCGTCCCTGTTACTACTTGCGCTGCCATGAAAAACTGATGCAGATTACTTTCTTATTCATTCTTATCAGAAGGATTTTGTCCTCCAGTAGCGCCAAGCAGCTTTCCTAATTTTTATCTGTTATAAACATCCTTGTACAAATGGTCCCTGTGCTTTGCACAACCCAAGAATGAGGGCAAGGCCATTCTCTGTATGGGAGCCAGGCCATGACAGAATCTTAGAAGAACCAAGGCCTTTTAATGGCCAGGGGAAGCTTATTCCTGACAGACTGAAGGACAGATATGAGAGCATTGTGAATGCATTTTGCTTGTGAACTGATGCAGAATGAAATGTCTCCAGTCATTAGACCACTCAATGCCAAAATTGCACTAGTTATGTGTCGATAGCAGCTGTGAGCACCACTCCAGGAATCCGCCACAAACATCTAATTAGGATTCCTAAGTGGTTTGCCAAATCCACAGATTTCACTTTGATGATCAGGCTTTTGCACCTTAGATACATTACTTTCTGCTACTTTCATCTTACCAGAGAATTATCCTCAGAAGCAGAAAGTGTGCAATTTGAAACCAGGAACTCAAAGATTCCAACTGGGGCAATTTCTGCCATTTCTGAAATTCATCAGACACAGCTATGCCATGTCACATCAGGTATCAGATTCCACAAGGAACAATATTTGGGAAAATATTGAGGTGTCTCTCATAAGGGTATCACTGGCCTGAGTCATGACATCAGGAGTCTTAAAAAAACTAAGTGACAGGTGCATGGGGGAAAGCTTTGTTTGAAAAGGCCAAACAGGTTTATTGACCTATCCATAGCTGAATTGTTCAGTCAGGTTTGTGATATACCTTTAAGTCTATGCCCTTTTTCAGCTATTACTCAGTTTGCTTTCTTCAACACTTGAGAATGGCAATGCTTAACTGTCTCCTTCTGCTATTGCTTTCCTCATGTGAAGAGTACCACATCTGAAGCAATGGTCCTGTTTACTTGGAGAAGAGGTGGACAACTGGGGGGGGGGGATATATATCATACTGAGGCCACATTATAGAGCGATCTTGAAGCACCTTTGAGACTAACTTAAAGAAAGAAGTTGGCAGCATGAGCTTTTGTAGACTATCTCAGGAAGTAGACTAAAGTCTAGGAAAGCTAATGCTGCCAATTTAGTTCTTTCGGTTAGTCTCAAAGGTGCTACAAGATCTCTCTACATACTGATTCGACAGACTAACATGGCTATAGCTTTGAATTCTACCACTGAGGCCACATTGTCAGGTCTAGCATGCCAGAAGTGACATCACATCACTTCTTGTTTTGTTTTCACCTGATTTTTGGCTGTTTTCTTTGTTTTTAAACCTACATGGGTTTAAGTGGAGAGATCCTGGGAGCAAAACTATTACATTTTGTGAACACGCAGGGGTAGCTAAAGAATGAGCCAGTGGAATGGGACCTTCAACCAAGGTAAAACATCTTCTTCTTAGATGTGGACTATATTGGCTTGTTTTACCTGTCCATCTACCAAAATGTTCCTGATGCAAAAACATGGAGACTTCTTGAGAAATCCATTGTCGTCTGCCTACAAAGAGGCCCATCGCCTCACAGGATGGAGATATATTGGACTGCAAGAGAGGAGTCTTTGTTGATATGCAAATGGACTTTAAATTTTTTGGACTTTGAAAATCTTCCAATTCCACATGGACAGAAAGAGGAAGAGCCAGCCTGCAAAAGATATCCTCCCCATACCATCTTAACT